GTCCCCACTTTTAGGATTCCTGCTGCAAGACCATCAGGTTTTAGGTGCTGCTGCTGTTTTTCTGCAGTTGAAATGCATGGAGTGGTTCCAGATCGGCCATCGGCCCCCTGTCAGTGGAAGAGGGTTTGCAAGGTTAGTCAAGAAAGAAATACACATATAGGCTCTCTTTTGAGAACCAGCTTTGTGAGCTGTCTTTTCTATGGGTCTTTTGCATCATAATGAAATATGAAGTTATTTGAAGAGTCTTGAGTGCTTTGAACTTTGTAAAAAGACTGGACGTTATGGAATGTGGCTATTTTATGCAATATAATGAAATATTCATTTAAAATATTTACATTCAAACTACCAAATCTTTTTGATGGAAAAGCAATTTACAGATTGAAAATACATATTTTAAATGAATTTTTCATTACATCGAATGGACAATAATACAACAAAATCATCATACAGCACTGTAGGTGATTGACAAATTCTTTTCACCGCATGTCAGAAAGTGTCTGTGATGGCTCTTGTGTGCATGCTTGAGTTCAACCCCCCCCAGACATTCATGAGTCTGTCATTATGAATATTACAAACCGCCATGTGGTGCAACACATCATATCCCAAAAGAAGAGCCCAAATGACCCCGCGTTTCTCCTCAGGGGCCGCCTTCCGTCTTGGCAAGGATACACCTAATCTGAAGTTGGTGCATTGCTTTGGATCAGACATCTTCAAACCGCAAACCAACGCAGGCGATCTGCCAAAGCCTGGGACAAGTTGTTACATTATGCAATATTTAGGCGGTGGATCCTTTGAGACGTACGCAGCTGCTTGTGGGACGTCCAAAATAATAGCCAATCTACACGGCGGAGTGGCTCTAAATGAAGACTTGTGGCTATCCGGCCGGAGATAGAGGTAATCTAGCAAATGGAATGGAAAATCAGATTCACAATCACAAGAGACTCATCTTTCCCGTGGCTTCTGGCCAGAGCGAGTGGAGGAAGTGCCGGCTGTGTCATCTCGCCACCACTGGAGCCCATAAATTGGACGCTTACAAAAACATGTCGGTCAGGCCAGGGATTGATCTTGATGGGGTGGGCGTGCAAGCAGGGAAAATGAAGAGTTGATCCCCTGCGAGGCGGCGATAATGAAGACAAATAATGCTCGGTGAGGTGCCGCCGGAGGAGTTAAATTGCTCCTTGGAGAGCATCTGAGCTTGAGCTTTTTCTATCATCTGTGACTGTGTAATCAAGCACTAGTGATTAAATCACTTTCACAGGGACTCCTCGAGATGTGTCTGCTGTTCATGTGTGGGCGGCCACACGTGTGTCCATGAGTGTTTGATCTGCTGCAAAGTATGGATGAGTTTATTTCAAAGTCGCAGTGGCAAGATCTGCTTGAAGTGTATTCCAGATCTGGCATTGTCTATATTTAAACCCCTCACTTTCCTTTCTTTCTTTCCGTCTGTGTGCAACAAGCAATTACACACGTTTAAAGAGGCATTGACAAACTTGTTGCGTGTCTAGTGTGCTTTATTCTACTAAAGCACTGAAACCAATTGACATTCCCATGGGGTTGACAGAGACAGCACTTACTGTGCATGACAATAACTTTTATAGCTCACGGTGTGTTTGCTTCAGTTCTGTGCTTTGATGTTTCATATTCCCTTCACATAGGAACATCGTAACCATATGGCGGGGCACCGAAAGCAGCTTAGTAGATCAAATATGGAAATTTCACATTTCAAGTTTTGTTTTAAGATAATGTGGCTGATTATAATGATGTTCCGGTTTAAGTTGATTTTAAAAGATTTGTGCTTAAAGTCAACAGTTTTACTTAACACCAAGTTGCTGCTCATCTTGAACATTTCTTTTCTTTGAACCATCTGGCTCTATATAGCACAACAGTCAGGTTCTGGAAGTGAAAATCCCATTCATTTATTTTCTCCATAGGGGAATTGATTTTTAACAATAACCTCTAAATCGTTAAAGACAGGCCTACTGTGAGCTATGAGGTTGTTAATTGATGGTAAATGTTTTTGTTGAAGTCGTCAGACCACATTATTTCAACCTTTTTAATTGTCTTTAACAGTGGAATTCTTGATGAAAAACTGCATCACCCATGATTCTGCAAACATCTCCACCAATCAGAGAATCGTAATAAAAGCTCTGCCGTCTCCCATGAAGCACTGTGAATGAAACTGTCTCAATTCAGGCCCAGTTTCATTTTTGGGCCGGAGACATTTTTTGAGTTTCGGGGTGTTGTTAAATGAATATCTCATTTCACACAGAAAAAATGTCACATTGCAGAAGTAAAATGGGCGATGTTGATAGCTCTAAATGATTGTGGTTTTTAAAGAGCAGGTCATTTGAGTTTTTTTGAAAAATATCTCTTTTGCAGTTTATAACGTAGCTATCCTTAAATGAAAACAATCTGCAAAGTTGTTAATCAAAAAAGTGCATGCTAAATAAAGATATTGTCTCTCAAAAGAGAGAGTCGATTCTGAATAGCCTTAACGAGTCGTCATATTTTCGAATCTTTATACGTCACTGGGTAACACATTTGCATAATCCCCGCCTGCCTGCGAAATACGAACAGAGTCTGACATATTTAGGTTTACAAACTGTATTGTTTCATCAGTTAGTCATGTTAGCACTCGGCTAACGTATCCACCATTATTGTTTTAAGTGTTCACAGTTTAGCAGCTAAACTTGTAAAAGTTTAAAAAAGCTGTGGGCACGATTCGCTTGCATAAGTGTTTTTTGTATTTTATGTCATTATTATAAGAATAGATTGGAGCACTATATTATTGTTTTATGCAAAGGTGCTTTGTCAATGGTAGCGCTCGCTAACTTGCTCAAGCACTCCTCTCTGTGCCAATCACAGCAGGCTTGGCCAGCTGACCAATCAGAGCAGAGTAGGCTTATGGAAGGGAGGGGTTTGCTCCGAACTTGCTTGGAACGAACCGTTTAGAAATCATTGGCAAATTACTCTAATATTAAATGTATATTCTGAGAAAATTACAATGTTTTCTGACCTTAGATGCATTTAAACCTGTTATAGGGGACTCCAACACAATATTAGGACACTTTAAAATACCATATGACCTGCTCTTTAAGATTTATTCTGAGCAGTGTTCATTTAGTCAACAAAATTACTTACGAAAATCTTTGTCAACAGTTTTTCGATTTTGTTAAAGATAATGAAGATGAGACAAAAGGCATCAAGATTATGATTTATTGATTTTAAACATACCATTGATACAAATATAAGAAAAAATGACACCGTGAGATTTTATCGATGCACAATGTTTTTTTTAGAAAAATAAATAAAAACACAATATGGATTAAGTGCTTTATTGTGCCGATGTTACATATAAATGAATATGGATTATTTGTGCTCTATTGTTTAACATTAATTACAAATATCACAAAAAAATTATAAAAATAACATTAAAGGGTTAGTTCCAAACCTGTAAGATCTTCATTCATCTTTGTAACACAAATTACAATATTTTTGATGAAATCCGAGAGCTTTCTGATCCTGCATAGACAGCAACACAACTACCAAGTTCAAGGCCCAGAAATGTAGTAAGGGAAGGACATCATTAAAATAGTCCATGTGACATTAGTCATTCAACCGTAATGTTATGAAGCTATGAGAATATATTTTTTTTGCGCAAAGAAACAAAATTCAATTTATTCAACAATGTTCAATTTATTCAAAAATGTCTTCACTTCCATGTTGTGTTCACGAGAGTACCACGACCCATGCGTGTGCATTCCTCTGCTTGCAAACAAGGTGCAGCACATCCGGTTTTAGCTCCTACGTCAACAGCACCACACACATGCATCATGGTACTGTCGTGAATGCACGTCAAAGACTGACACGGAAGTAAATATTTTTGTTTTCTTTGCGCACAAAAAGTTTTCTCGTAGCTCCATAAAATTAAGGTTGAACCACTGATGTCACATGGACTATTTTAACGATGTCCTTACTACCTTTCTGGGCCATAAAACGTTTTAGTTGCATTGCTGTCTATACAGGGTCAGAAAGCTCTCAGATTTCATCAAAAATATCTTAATTTGTGTTCCGAAGATGAATGAAGGTCTTACGGGTTTGGAAAGACATGAGGATGAGTAATTAATGAAAGAATTTTCATTTTTGGGTGAACTATTCCCTTAATAACGGACTATAAATGTATTCACTGGCTAATGTAGTGCATTTCCAAACATATTTTCACAAATGCGACAGCATAAATGTAATATTAGCAGCTGCTTATAATTTGCACGGACAAAGTTAACAAAAGCAGGTGAACATGAATAAACCTAACAATTAACAATAAGCAAGTCTGTAAAGAGCATGCAGTACCACCTAATGTAATAACATATGTAATATAATAGGTGTGTATACAGAGTGAATATTGGTGTCAAGACTTATTACTGTTGATATTGTATAATGATACTGTTTCTGGGATATTGTATATTATATGTTAACACGTTCAATAATGTTGGTTCCAGATTAGAGATTCTCATGGAGTTGAAAGGAAGAGAGGCACTTTTGCTTTGACAAAAAACTTCGCTTGGCTCACTGTGTGTTTGCTTCACTTCTGTGCTTTGATGTTTCATATTCCCTTCACATAACACATATTTACAATTATATGTGGCACCAAAAGCAAATTAGAAAATCAAATATGGAAATGTCACAAGTCAGCTTCATTATTAAGTACAAGATACAACGAGTGATTATACTGTAATGATGTTTGATTTTAGAATACTGATAATTAAACTTAATGACCGATTAACGATTTTATATTCACATTTCCTTTGCATGCACGATTTAAAGAAAAAAAAAAAATCTGCGCAAACTTTCAGCTCAAACTTGCTGTGCATCTGAAATGCTTCTTTCCTCTTTGGCTGACATCTCCAAGCCCTCTTATTTCTCAACACCTTCCCACCAACCATCTGACTCTATTCTGGTATGCAATTTTTCATTATTCAATCAAATCCCACTTTTCCTTTGAAAATGCTGTTTCATTCAGAAATGCGTTGTAAGTAAATACGTGTTACGTAAGTAAAATGGGTCAAGTTGACATGAATCTGTAAATTACTGTTATTTTAGTTTGTGCATTTTAAGGCACAATGGCTAAGTGCTGCCAATAATCCTTTTAAAACCATTCAAATCCCAGTTCTGGTTTGGCCAACAGGTAGGCGGTCACTAGAGCAGCCGCTGTCATTACCACGCCAAAGAGGTAGTAACACTTAGACGATGTACACTTTGAATCCTTTCTTGGGTCACTGTGTTTCAGGGAAGCTCGCACTGCAACCAGTTCCTCCTGGGACAGAGAAGAAGGACACATCTGAGCCAGGACCTCCATAGCTGCCCGCTGACCAGCCTGAATGGCTCCATTAATGTATCCACACCATTGGGTAGCCGTCTCTGTGCCGGCCCAATGAATCCTGACAAAAGAGATGGACAATTAAGAGGCAAGACAATTAAGCATTAATCATGTTTAAAGCCTTTAATCAAGTCTTACTACTTCCTGCATCCTTTGAAACCACTATGACTGAGTATCAAGACCCAGGATGTGGAAAATGTCAAGGTGACTGGTAATATAAAGACTTTGCATTCACGGTTGATGCTTGTCAAAATGAATAATGGCTATATTAGTTAACTAGATCTAAGTTTGTGCTAATAGCAGTCATGAGTCGTTAGGCTTGTCATTGAACATAAAGGTCTTAGATCAACTTTATT